GAACGAACGAACGAACGAACGAACGAACGAACGAACGAACGAACGAACGAACGAACGAACGAACGAACGAACGAACGAATGAGAGAGGGAAGGAGTGTCGAAATGGAGAAACACTGGAGTGAATGTAAGCAGCTGTTCCAAGTGTTCATGAATAATTGAGTTGCAACGAATCATACCCCCCATGCTTCCATTCCTGGCAAAGTAGCGTCCCGGTGATTGGTTTAAAAAATATCTTTTTCTCAGTCCCAATTGTTGTCCATCGAATAGGAGCCCCGCAACTGAATCCACATCACATCATTGCCGACTTGTTACAGTACACGGCTTCAGCATACGTTGTATTACAGTTAGGTCCAATTAGTCGAATAAGTAAAGTACGTAGGCAAAATAATGTCGTTGGTAAAAAATATACCTAAATTAAGTTTTCTGTACTATTATTTGGTCGGCATGGTATGGTCATCTGTAGAAGGTATGCAGCTGCAGCTGTTTTTGTATAATGAATAGAATAATTGACTATAATTTTAGTTCTCTTTTCTTGAAATATCTTGTCCTTCTTGACTGTTTTACATCGTTAATGGTGTGTGGGATTGTATGAACTATTTCCTTGAACSGACTGAGTATGATCAACAACAGCTAAAAAAGTTAGAAAAAGTTGCGTACATTTAAAACTTTCACACTGTGAAACACTATCTGGGCGGATCAACTCAAATTGGAAGTTAGCGTGGAATTCAGGTTTTGCTGAGAGAGGAAATCCGGAGAATCTGGAGAAAAAGGCCCTTGTATCAACGTAGGAACCAAAAAAAAACTCTTCTTACGTCCCTGAGATGACAATACTGGAAAAATAACTCACACGCAACCACCATAGCAACGATCGTCTAACTATACTAATTACAACGGCTAGTTCTTTGGAGTTAAAACGCTACCATCCGTATATCTATTTAAGTTTCGAAAGTCGAGCTTTTGGTCATTGATTTTTTGGGAATCCAAATCAAAATAAAGTATCTAATTTAAAGCAGAATAGTAAGAATTGGTTTACTTAACAAATAACCTTAAGCTGTACTAATATTTTGTTATTTATTATTTATAATGCGAAAATTGAATATGATAGAAAGAACAAAGAATTGTACCTAACAAAAGAGGTGCTTTACAATTCGGCAATGGAAAAGCGGGTTCCAAATGGCAAACTGTTAATGATGYAATATTTTCAGTATCACTGAAAGACGTCTAGCTGACTTCGCTTATCCCAGCCAGAAGGAATTAGCCATTTAGCAAACATTTTATTCAAAGATCATTGTGAAGTCCTAGTCAAGTGTCTATCATCCTTCTGACAATATTCTCAGTATTGATTCTACATGGGGTAAGATGATGAATAACCCGAAAAAATTACATAGTTTGAGTGCGGCTTCTTGAAGTTATGAAGGTTTTTCCACGTCATATGCTACTGCTGTGACGTATGAGGAGGCATTTATGGTTATTTGTTGTTCCTCGTAATTCGAAACACCGGCTTCTATGGGAAAACTAACTTGCAATCATTTCTATAAGAGCAATGGGCAAAACAATGACGTATTTCAAATTTAATTTATTTGTACCAGTAGTGTTTTGTATATTAAATGATTACTCCTCATACGTCACAGTATTAGCATATGGCATGGAAAAACCTTCATAACTTCAAGAAGCCGCACTCAAATTATGTAATTTTTTCGGGTTATTCAACATCTTATCCCATGTAGAATCAATACTGAGAATATTGTCAGAAGGGTGATAGACACTTTAAAGCTCGAAAAACCCAACATCTTTTGCTCGGAAATAAAGAAGAAAAATTAATCGAGGAAAAATGCACTATGAATATCTTTTAGAAATAGTAGTTTTCTTTGTTTGGTGAAAAAAATTGCGTTTATCAAAAGATAATTGAAAATACTTGGCAAAGAATGCATTGCGCTCCTAGATTTCAAGTCACATGGGTTTTACTTAACTGAGAACGTGCGTCGCTCACCGATTGGACTCGCTAAAATTTATTTTCTCTGGTTTTCCTCTTTGCAAAAAAAAAAAAAAAAAAAAAAAAAAAAAAAAAACAAATCAGGTTTAACATCAATATTATCATCATCATCAATATCATCATCATTATTGTTATTATTGTTATTATTATCATCATCATCATCATTGTTATTATTTTTATTTTTAATCATCATCTTTATCATCATCATCATTATTATTATTATCATTTTTATCATCATCATCATCATTATCATTATTATTGTTATTATTATCATCATCATCATCACAATCATCATCAACATCATCATCATCATCATCACCATCATC